TAGGATTTCAACATACAGATTTAGAAGGGATACAAACATTCAGACCACAGTACCAAGGAACTCTGCAGATTGCCAACAGTCACCAGATGCTAGAAGAGGCAAAGAAGCTTTCTTCTCTAGAGTGTTTAGAGAGAGCATCACTCTCTGAACCCTTTGCTTTTGGACTCCGGCCTTCCAAAACAGTGAGAGAATAAATTCCTATTGCTTTAAGCCACCTAGCTCATAGTATTTTAATGGTAGCCCTGGGAACCTAATGTAAGAATATTAATGGGAAAAAAATGCTGAAATCACAGTAAAGGCTGGATTTTAATTTAATAATAATAAACTGATATTCTTAATTCAACAAATGTACCACCATAATATAAGATATTGACAGGGGTGCCTGGGTGGCTCAGTGGGTTAAGCCTCTGCCTTCAGCTCAGGTCATGATCTCAGGGTCCTGGGATCCAGCCCTGCATCAGGCTCTCTGCTCAGCAGGGAGCCTGCTTCCTCCTCTCTCTGCCTGACTCTCTGCCAACTTGTGATTTCTCTCTCTCTCTCTCTGTCAAATAAATAAATAAAATATTTAAAAATAAAGATATTGACAATAAGGTATATATCTGGATGTTGGGTGCTCTATTTGCACACTTTCTATAAATACATAATTATTCCAAATTAGAAAATTTAGTTTGGGGGAAAAAATCCACTTACAGGCTGTATCATCTTTGGATGGTCACTTCCCTAGACTTAGGTCAGCTCATTAATAAAATGGAGATAAGGGCAGCTCTACTGAGGGTTGTGTTTAAAAATGTGATCGTGTATATCAGTACTTAACAGGCACATCATTTTTCATTATGATTCTGTCACTTGGTTGATTTGACAGTCCTTCCAAATTCACATCAGAATGAATTTGCCCCATTCATACTACCCTCATCCATGCCATTACTTAAAACCTTGTTGAAGAAAGGGACAAAACCTTTCAGGCTTCTGTTGGATTGAGAGGCAGTATTCCCACTGAACAGGGGCACTCTTCAACCTGCTTCAAATCCAGGCGAATCATGTATTCTACCTCAGGCGAAACCTAGTCACCCTATGAATCAACATCTCCCACATGTCCACTAGTTGCATAACCTTAGCAAAAAATAAATGAGGTTAGTTTGGGGTAGATCTGATGTGTTCCTATCTTTTATAGGGGACCATGTAATGTCATGGCTAGGTAGAGTCAGATTCATGGGGTTTAAACCTTAGCTTGTGCCACTTACTAGCAGTGTGCTATTGGGTAAGTTGGTAACTCTTAGATTCACTGCACCTGTCTGCAGAATGAGGACAAGAATACCTTCCTCATAGAATTATTATAAAGGCTACAGTAAAGTGCTAAGCCATAATACACAATAAGCATTGGAACTTAGTGCATGTATACACCCGTGTGTGTATGTGTGTTTTCAGTGCCTGGTACAGTGACTGTCATATTAGAAGCACAAAAATTGTATGTTTCAAGAAAAAGGCCTAGATAAGTGAAGCTGTTGCAGATTGAAGAAAGATAGCGACTTGAGCAGCATCATAGTGGCAGACAATAACCGGTAGATTACCCGTAGAGCACAGGACTCCAAGAGCATTGACCCTGTAAAAATCTGGGGAATAATCTGATGGGTTTTATTTTGTAGATATGGAAACAGAATCACAAATAGTCAAGGGGACTTGTCTGGGCACAACAATTCATTAGTGGTAAATACTATACCTCCAGCTTATGTGTTCTAACTCCTAGTATAGGCTTTTCTCTCTGTCCTCTGGATACTCCTCACAGCACCTAGCAAAATCTATGCAGAGGGCATCCAGCTCAAAGGGTTGATTGTTGTTATGCAGCATCTTGGAAATCAAGCGCTGCTCTGAGAGTTACCAGACCTTTGAGCTAGGGCACTGAGGATGAGGACAGTCAAGCCAGGGCAGCTTTGATTAAAACATAGTGCTTTGCTGAAATACCTGTGGCTATATCTTAACGTAAATACTGAAAAAGGCACAGTAATCCCAGAGGCTTCAGCAACGTACATCAGAGCTAAGCAGTATTTTGGCAACTCAGGGAAGCACCCCGACTGTTCCAGCTCTGAATTGTGAGCAAATCATTTCTTCTAGCTGTACCACAGTTAATAATAGAAATGACAGTGCCAGAGAATTTCAAGATACTTCATGGTTTTTGAAAAGGTGTTTTGGATCTTAGCCATGGTCTCATCTGTCCCTCTCAAGAAGCTTCAGATTATTGTTATTATTATATTACAGCTTCTATATTTCAGATAAGACAGGTTCAGTGAGATGGAGTGATGTTGTGTGTGTGTGTGTGTGTGTGTGTGTGTGTATAAAACCAACAATGAAAATAAGGAAAATAGCAGTTGTTCCTATTTCCTGAGCATATACCACTATCCCAAGTATTTTTTAAGATTTTATTTATTTATTTGAGAGCAACAGAGAGAGAGAGAGAGAGAGAGAGAGCGTGTGCATGAATGGGGGGAGGGACAGAGGGAAAAGCAGACTCCCTGCTGAGCGAGAAGCCCGACAATAGGCTAAATCCCAAGACTGCAGGATCATAACCTGAGCCTACGGCAGACACTTAACTACTGAGCCACCCAGGCACCATTGTCCCAAGCATTTTAAGAATATTTGTCATTTAATTTTCACATAACTCTGTGAGGTTGTTAATATTGTTATCCAGTTTTATTCCAAGTCACAGAGACATTAAGCAATTTGCTTGAGCTCACACAGTAGTAAGTGGAGGAGTCAGGATGTGAACCCAAGCAGTCTGGCTCCAGAGCCCATGCGGAACAGTGAGCTGGTGAGGCACAGATACACCCTTCTCCTTAAAGAGGTCACACTCTAGTTTGAGAAAACTGACATGTAAATTAGATCATTAAAATTTAGGAAGATAAAAAAGTATGAGGCTCACTGTCATGGCAACGACAGAGGGTGACTAAAAATCAATATGGTGGAGATTGGATTAAAACCCAGACTTCCTGACTGCATAATCAATATCCATTTATTCCGTCATTCAATAAACACTTAATATTAAGTGTTAGAGATTGGAAATAATAATGACAGTAATAAAAAGACATTGTTCTTCTCCTAAAGAACCAGTTACAGTCCAGAGATAACACTTTCCTAACCACTTCGAGCCTATAGTCTTTGTTCCAACATGAATGCACCCAGAGTCCAGGGGTCACCAGCTGATGTGAGGACTCTTTAGCTCTCCAGTGCCATCCCCTCCCTCCTCTCCTCCTGGCGCCGTCCCCTCTCCCCCCAACCATGATGAGGCACCTAGGGCCATTCCATGCCAGTCGCATTAACAGTGGTGGCCTGATTTAATATAACCTCAAGCTCAATTGCCTTCACTAATGCAAACTTAATGGGGGCCCCTTTAATTCCCTTAGAGATTTCTTCTCAGTAAGTGGGTGTTGGCTCTTCCCTGAGAACTGTGCTCTCTGGGGGAGGGTCTGCAGTAGCCTTCGGTCAGCACGTTCTACCCGTATCAACTAGAGTTTTGGAGTCATCCTCACAAGGATGTCTATGAAGGATGCAGTCAGACATTCCACACCTACTCCCTAGGGGGTCAGAATTATCTCAGAACACTTTCCCCGATGTTTTGAGGATAGAACACATGAGAGTACAATTCAAAAATGCTAAAGATGGAGTTTTATACCCAAAATAGTTCTTAAAATTCAGCTATAAATTTCACTACCAAGCTCAGAGTGTGTGAGGTAAAACTATAAAATATGCCTGCTTCAACAACGTGACTTCCAAATATGGTTCTAGTTCTTTCATCTTTTTCCAAGTAATTATCAGAATACCCACTTGGCCCATGAGCAGAAGGTCAAAAGTTGATGGGTCCCAAACAATTGCTGTAGGAGTCCATCATCATATTTATTCTATCTAAAGAGGGAGGAAGGGGAGGGTGTTGATTCTGTTTCTAAATAACAAGAGGGGAGAGAATGCATATCTCATCTGTCAACCATCATTTCTTCTCACAGCCACACTGTACTATCAGACTGGTTCTGCATAACTGGACACTTGAGACATGTCCACTGCTGCTAAGATGACCTTATTGGTCTAGGTCATTGGCCAGAGTGCACAAAGAATCCTCAGGTTAGACAAGCTTGGCCATGTGGCCCCATTGCTTAACCAGGGTGCCTGGGTCCAGCTTAGCCACCTACTTTGCTGAACCCAGCTGTGCCTTATCCCTCTCCACCTGGAGTATTTGCATGAGTCTGGAGCAGCTACCTAGGCTGCCTCTCTTGCAGAGCTTTTTGATCTCTTTCATTGGGCTTCATATGGACCACCCTGGCCCATCGTGGTGCATCTTCTAAGCTTCCTATTTTCCTGGCTTTTTTCTGTCCTTGGGCTACTGATGCAAACTGGACCCCTGTTTCCTCCTCGGAGACCAGTGTTGCATACCCACGGTCTCAGTGATGGACAGCCCTTCACTCAGGCTGTGACCTCTCAACCACCACTTCCTCTTTTGGATGTCTGTCATTCTTTAATAATGCAATTGAAGATGTCATTAAAGCCTCTCCTTTGAACAGAGGTCTCCTGCAGGACTTTGTCACGACATCTAGTTTGAGAGGGACGGTTTGCTCTTCATCAGAGCACAGTGGGTTTGTCATCCTCAGCATCACCCGAGCGGCGTGGACTCCACATTGGGCAAACTGGTTGGGGCACAGAGGGAAAGCCACAAGAGCAGAGTGATTCTAGATTACCTCATCCATTTTTCTCTCCTCTGGCCTGGAAGCCAGGCAATGAGGGGCAAACCTGCCTGTGCTGATCAGCAGACCTGCAGAAGGGGACCTCAGGGAGGAGACGCCAAAGAAAGGCTCCAGGACAGAATTTCTATGCCAGCATCACTCACGGCCAGATCGAGCTGGTGGTTCTCAAACATGAACCCTCAAGGCTGTGGGGCTGGTGAGGCTGCTGCTGTGAATTCAGAGTGCCCATTTACACAGGCAAACCTTGCCGTGGTGCTGAGAGCCATGGGCCCTTACCTGTGTTTGTTCCAGAAGCCCAGGCAGCTGCCTTCACCTGCTTGTCTTTTTCCACGGTCCTCCTGGTCAGATAAATCAATTAAAAACATCAACTGCTAGAATAACACAAACACAGGCAGCAGGAGAGGGCCTGGAGGGCCAAGTTCTGTTTAGTTACTCCGGGTTTCTAAGCACGTTCCAAAAATATAACCCCCACCGCCATGGCAAACCTACTTTTGATGAAACACAATGTACAATCTCTAATGTTGACACAGAACAGATGGGACTTTGATTTTTTTTTTTAATCTGTTCTTGATAGAAGAGAAATTGGCACAATGGATTTTTTTTTTCTTGATTTGGAGTTGTTTTCTTTTTTCTTCCTTTTTTCTTTATCACATGCACACCTAACACTGAGAGTCCTTTGGTTCTCTCTCCTTGTTTGTAGTTGATCCCTTCTATAGCTGGGAGTCTCTGGTGGACTGTGCCTTGCTTTTCTCATCAACCAGCAAGGATGAAGGTTACTGCCCCCCGTGTCCCTTCCATCTGGCTCAACAGAGTGGTTGTAGGAGCTACACACCAAGAGGGTCCTCCGACTTACAGACAGTGAGATCCTGGCTTGTCATCAATGATCTACAAAGCGATGGCTGAACGAGGGTCATGCAGGGCAGTTGGCCTCACCTACCCCAGATATTGCTATACTCCAAGGGAAACAGTGGGCATTGCCATGAAAAATTGGCTTCAAGACAAGTCTCAACAGATTGAAGCCCCCAAGCCCCTCCTAACCAAGTCTTTCGGAGCCGACCCAGGTCGCAAAATGTCCTCTTTAGCCTTCCCTGGGACTGCCAACAGAGATCCTTTGAGCATGGGCTAGGCACAGAATGTTCTTTGGTGGGGGGATGTCCACCCCCACGTGATTACATTCCCATAGCAACAGCTGTTATAGGGCAGAACACAACAGATGCCATGAGACGGGTTACACCCTACTATATAACTCCAAATTGTTTGATTAGATGATAACAGGTACAACTGGATAGCTGCTAAAGCCCCATTTCAAATTTGATTTACTTTCAGACTTTAATTTCCTCCCAATCATTGGATTGATTCAAAGAAACAAAGGTAGTGTGATGGGGAGTGGGATTGCAGGTTTCCCTGGTCTTCCCAAGTCCTGCTCACTGTCCCACCACCCTCAAGGGGTTGCTAGGGTGGCAAGAGGGCTGGGGAGGGTTACTGGTTTATGAAACTGGTAGGATTCTAGTCTTAGTCTCTCATCTTATGGTCACCCAGGTTCCAGTCTCTCCTGCACAAATTAAATTGCCTTAACCATTTTTCTGAAAGAAAAACCTGGAAATAGGAATACATCTCCAAAAACCATTCTTGCAAAGAAAAGGACAAGATCACACAGAATTTTTTTTTTTTTTTTTTACAAAAACAAAACAACAACAACAAAAACAAAAAACAAATCCAAACCGAAATCACTCTCTTAAAGAGATATCTCAGGGTGCCTGGGTGGCTCAGTGGGTTAAAGCCTCTGCCTTCAGCTCAGGTCATGATCCCAGAGTCCTGGGATAGAGCCCCGCATTGGGCTCTCTGCTCAGCGGGGAGCCTGCTTCCTCCTCTCTCTCTGCCTGCTTCTCTGTGATCTCTGTTTGTCAAAGAAATAAATAAAATCCTTAAAAAAAGAGAGAGAGATATCTCACCTCCATGTTCACTACAGCATTATTCATAATAGCCAAGACATGGAAACAACCTAAGTAGCCATTGCTGGGTGAAAGGATGAAGAAAATGTGATATGCAGACTCTGTTGTGTATTATTCAGCCACAGAAAAGGAAATTCTGCCATTCATGACAACAGAGGTGGACCTTCAGAGCATTAAGCTTAGTGAAATAAATCTGACAGAGAATGACAAATATGGTAGGATCGCTTATCTGTAATCAAAAACAAGCTGGAACTCATAGAAACAGAGAACAGATTGGTGATTGCCAGAGGTAAGATGGGGGATGGGATGGGAATGGGGAAAATGGCTGAAGGTGATGAAAAGGTACAAACTTCCAGTTATAAGATAAATAAGCTTGAGAGTCCATTATAGAGTATGGTGACTACAGATAACAACACTGCATTGAATAGTTGAAAGTTCTTAAGAGAGTAGATTTTAAGAGTTCTCATCACAGGAAAAAAAAATTAGCGATGTTATAATTCTCATCATGAAGAAAGTTACAATTTGGGGGCACCTGGGTGGCTTAGTTGGTTAGGTATCCAGCTCTTAATTTCAGCTCGGGTCATGATCCCAGGGTCGTGATTTCGAGCCCTGTCTCAGGCTCCATGCTGGGCATGGAGCCTGCTTAAGATTCTCTCCCTCTCTCCCTGTGCCCCTCACCGCCTTAAAAATGTTACAATTTTTCATCATTAAAAATTATAATCTCTCATCACAAGGAAAAATGTGGACTATGTTGCAATTATTACACTGTGTAGATGTTATGAATGTTAACTAAACTTATTGTGCCAATCATTTCCCAAGAGAGACATGTAGCAAATCATTATTTTGTACACATTTAACTAACTAATACAATTTCATATGTCAATTATAGTTCAATAGAGCCAGACAAAAACTTACAGAGGGACAGAAAAGATTGCTGGGTTGTCTTATATTGTGAGTTAACTCCAGAAAATAAAGTCTATTTCTACTTTTTATATATTTCACAGGCTTTGGAAGCATGTCCTCTTGGTGGTTCTATTTCCCAGACTCCATAACTGTGTATGTAAACAAGAGGACACTTGTCATTTTGTTTGCTATGTTGGACAGCAAGTGCCATGGCACATAAAAGATACTCAATAAATGATCTGGCTTTTAAAAACACGATTTAATTTTTTACTTAAGGAGTTAATGAGCATTTAGTAAATAAGCAGCAGCAGGAGGAAGAGAATGATGACAGCAATGACAGTGACCTTGAAACAATGAAGAGAAAAGCAAGATAGATAAATGACCTATGTGGGGTGACCTAGGGTTTTCTGATGAGTAAGTGTAAGTAAAATGGAAGTGCCAGGGCCTGGATTCAAAGCCCACTCTTACACTTAGGATAGTTATTCCGCAAGTCACATGCCCCATGCTCACTTTCTTCCTCTTTAACACAAGAGATAATGATTCTTCACAAACTGTGAAAATCAAATGAGAAAACTATACGTGAAAGCACTTCGTAAAAGGGTTTGTACAAATATAAGGAGGCAATTTTATTAATAATCATAAAGAACTACATAGGTTACTCAACACCCACTGAAGTGTTAACCACACGTCATAACCACAAACTAGCTATAAAAATGCAGAATGACCAAGAATGACATATTCTTTTTTTATTGCTGTGTAATAAAGACTACAAACTTAGCTACTTAAAACAACACATTTATAATGTTATAGTACTGAAGGTCAAAAGTCCAGACAGACTCACCTGGGTTCTTTGTGTGGGGTCTCACAAAGCTGAAGTCAAAGCTGTCACCTAGACTAGGTTCCAGCTACTATGGTAGCTCTTGGGAAGAATGGGTCCAGAGTTCATTTATGTTTTGTCCAAATTCAGTTCCTTAGGTAGTAGGACAGAGGTCCCCATTTTCTTGCTGACTATCAGTAAGGTACCACTCTCAGCATCTTGAGGCTCCTCTTAGGACCTAGCCCCCTGACTCTCTCCATCTCAACAACCTTCCTTATATCATACTCTCTCGCTCTGCCTTTCTCTGCTTCCTTTCAGTGAAAGAAAACTCTGCTTTTAAAGTGATTAGACTAGGTCCAGCAGGACAATTATTTTGAGTTAAATGTCAACTCATTAGTAAGCTTAACTCCACCTGAAAAATCCCTTTTGCTATGAAATGTATCATAATCATGAGTGTCATGTCTCATCATATTCACATTTTTGGGGATTAGGGCTGGACGTCAGGGGAAAGGGGCATCTTAGAATTCTGTCTATCCCAGTTTAGGAACTCCTTGGAGGAGAGCTTTGGAGCTGTATATTATGTGTCTCCTCATTAAGATTGGAGGATCCCGTTCATATACTCTGGTGCCTAGCACCATTCCTTACACACAGCAAGTGTTTGATATAGGTTTGTTAATAGAGACATGAGACCTCTTTAGGGAAATTTTCCTTGAAATTTCAGCTTTCATAAGGAAAATAAGGACAAAAAGTATTTTTCCCATAAAAAAAAAAAACCATAAAAAAAAAAAAGTATTTTTCATCCAGCTGATAATTGTAGTCACCTCACACTTCTGCCATGTAGCAAAAATACTCAACATATAGCAGGCCCATAATATCATGAATATGATTTGAATATGATTTAAATCATGAATATGAAATGAATAAGTGAATGAATGAGTGGAAGAATTTTCCACTGAGGCTTAACTAACCATCACCTTTGGTATCTATATATCCAGCTAAGTTCTTTTGTTTTTGCTTTTGTTTTTTGGGAAGAGAAGAAAGCAAATAGGACGATTTTGTTTTTCATTTTACCTTTTAGACACTTTTTTAAAAAGTTTCTTTGGGGATTTGTTCCATGATGATCTATTTACACTGAATAATGCTTACACTTCCCCCTTGACACAGGGGACGAGACTTTCAGACAAGAGGGGAGATCTGCATAGGTCCAAGTAGAGTTCTGTCTGAGGCATCAGAAGGCACCTGAAAAAACGGCCACTCCAAGAGCTTTCTCAGAAAGAATTTAAGAGCCTTACCATTTTTCTAAGGAATCTGACTACACAGGGCATCATAACAAGCTAGATTCCAGATCAGCTAAAGAGTAAATGGCTTCTACCAGACAAAGCATGAAAATACTTCCATTACCCAACCACTAAAATAACAAAGCCTCCACACTGTTCGAAGCTTCTTCTTTGAAAGCTGGATTGACAGATATTGGATTGAAGTAACGCAGCTTAATATCAAAAACGACAGCTGGCAATGTAGCAGGGAAACACAACCCACCTCGCAGTGGATAAATCAATGTTCTGCTCTGAGCCATCACTGCATTAGTGGCTGGTTATTACTTAAAAATAAACACTTGCAAATGTATTGGCTACACCTTTATCAGACCGTCTCTCTGGAGGATTCTTTTATGATTCTTCTGTTTTCCAAGTTGCACAAAACAATTTTCCATTAACTATATCCCAGCATATTCTGCTTACTAAACCAAAGCCGTTTACATAATGGGTGATTTCAAACACACACATACACACACACACATTTAGCTAAATAAATGTGTAAACAAATACCTTGCTGAAGTTTGGATACACTTGAAAAGTACAAAAAGACTGTGGAGGAGGTGGAAGATAGAAATAAGGTATATACATGTTATAACTTAAAGAACAAAATAGATTAATATTATCTAATATTTATAATGGCACTTGCTACACTATCTTAAGCACTGTATTTATATTAATTCATTTCATCCTCACAGAAACTCTATGATGTAGATGTATTATTATCATCATCTCCCACTTACAGATGGACCTCTGATGGAGAGAGGTCAAACAGCAGAGCCGGGCATTGAACTCAAGAATATTTAATTATTAAACTCTACTACTGCTAGTATACCAAATATATATTAGAGAGAGAGAGAGAGAGACATCCAAACTCCTGAGGATAATTATTATAAGGATTATTCATTTTTTCTTTCAAAAGATATTCAGTGAGCATCTGCTCTATGCCAGGCACTGTCCTGAACAATAAACAGAACAGATAAACCCCTGCCCTCAGGAAACTTACTTTCTTAAGTGGAGAATAGACAATAAATGAAAGTGCAACAAAACTGTACAGACTTCACAGTCACTAAAGCAGTATAGAGTAGATCTCTTCACTGGGCTGATGGAGTACAAGCCCAACCCTTGAGGTGAAAAAGCCACTGGGACCCATGGACATATAGAGATAATGCTCTCACATTTCTCTCACCCTTAGAAAAGTTAAGTTTTGGTTCCAGGATACCATGTCTAGTGAATGACGGAGACTGTGTTTTGCACGTCTGCTTGTGGGATCCTTGGGTCAGTGGTCTTTCTTAATGGAGATGCTCAATAACTCATCATTTCCTAAGCTGCCTGCAAGAGAAGAATCTTCTTCCTTTCTTTAGGTTTTACATTATGGCTGGCTTTAGCACAATGATCAAAGAAAAAGTTGGCAGAGATGGCAACTTGATATTCAGGTACCAATCATGTGAGATGATCCATCAAGACATCACTTCTGTGCAGAGAATGTCTCTCTCCCAGAGTTGGTCAAGGTCATCCATAGAAACATATCAAGATATGCCATCCCAGGAAAGAGGCTGATGAGTTCTTTTAGCAACATGTCACTTTCTATTGTCAGAACCAAGCAGGGTGATAAATCATCTCTTTTTTCCTGGTTCCTCACCTGCAAAATGGGGCTAATAGGAGTGGTTTTAAGTGTTGAGACAGCACCACTTGGATGTTTGAATTAGATACCTCAAATTAAACATATCCAAACATACCTGAATTAAACATGATGATTCTGATTTTCACCTCCAAACTACTCCTAACCCAACGTTTTCCATTTCAATAAATGGTAATTCCATTTTTCAGGGGGCTTAGTCTAAAAACAAGCCAACAACAACAACAAAAAAAATAAACTTTCTGGAATCTTCCCATCCACCCCATATGCACTAACAAAATTCTGTCATATCAATCTTGAAACCTGCCCAGAATCCAACAACCTCTCACCTTTACCTGCTGGAACCCTGTTCAAGTCACTATAATTTTTCACTGGATTGTTGCCATGACTACTTAATGGTCTCCTTGTTTCCAGCCTTGGCCCTCAATTGTCAATTCTCAAAACAATGACTAGCAGAATCCTTTAAAAACATAAATCAGCTCATAATACTCCTCAGCCCCAAACCCTGCAATGGCTCTTCCCCTCTCACACAGAATAAACTCAAATCGTTACACTGGTCTACAGACCCTACACACAGTCCCTCCCCCATCTCTCTCTAACTTTGCATCCCCTCTCACACTCTTGTGAGGTCATAAAGGTCTTCTTGCTATTCCTTGAAAAAGCCATTCATGCTCTTGGCTAGGTCCTTTCCTGTGGCTTCTCCCTCTGCCTGGAATCAACTCTTCCCCTTGGCATCTACATTCATGCCCTCCCGCCCCTTCAAGGATTTCCTCCAAAGTTCCCTCTTAAGCTAGGCCTTCCTTGAACATTCTGTTTACATTTCCAACCACCAACCCTCCAGGCAGCACACACATGCCCTTCTTTTCCTTCTTCCCCAGTCCCCCCCCACTTCATAGTATACAATCTTTATTGCCTTCTAACATAATTGACAAATACTTACTTTTTAAATGGTTTGCTTCTCCTCATTAAAATAAGTTTCACAAAGGCAGGGATTTTGTCTATGTTGTCCACTGTTGTATCTCTGTCACCCAGAATAGAGGTGCTCAGAACTACTGACATTTTGGGCAGGATAATCCTTTACCACAGAGCGCTCTCCTGTGTATAGCAGAGTGTTCAACAACATCCCTGGTCTCGGCCTGGCACCTGCCCTTCCCCAGGTACAGCAAGCAGAATGTCTCCAAATACTGCCAAACGTTGCCCCTGGAAAGCCAAATCTCTCCCAGTTGACTATCACTGGTCTACAGCTATGTGTAATACAAAGCAAATGCTCAATACATACTTACTGAAAGAATAAATCGAAGTGAAATGAGTTAATATCTTAAGTACATAGAACAGTGTTGGACATATAGTAAGGACTCAGAAAACACTAATTATGATGAATGTGTTATTTTTACTATTATTGCTGCATTGTTGTTACATCCAGAATAAACTATGGAGACAACCAAACTGTATCATGCGGGAAACACTAGGACTTGATACAGACTTCCTTTCTAAAATATATTTGAATTCTTTTAAAAACTGCAGTACAAAGCCTCACACCGAGACGAGTGAACACGTTGGCTACCACCAACTCATTAACTTGTGTTGCCACATTAAATTGTTCTGTGTAGACCTCAGAATACATCATCTTCTGCCATCTCTGTGCATATATTTTAACTTCTTATAAATGTGCCACTGATTCGGAAGGCTACAGTTTGGCACTGGTGTTTATTTTTATTCCTGTCTATTCCCGTCGGTTCATGTAAAACTGTTCAAGCAAGTATTCCATGGTAGAGTTGTATCAAACGTACATCGATTTAATCTGCCCAAATTCAACTATGCACGCTTGGCCAAAAAAATAAAGAGAGAAAGCATAATTTTCATTCAATGTGGACCCCTAAATGCAAGCCAATTCCTTCATCTGGTGCTCAACTAAGCAACAGCAATCTGTTCTACCCTGGAGGGACAATTGGCTGTATTAAACTTAGCATGAAAAAAAAAAAAGGGAAACTCTACACAAAACCGATATACCATATTTTATAGGTGATTTGGGGTATTTTTCATGGACAAATTTGACCATGTATGTTATAGTTCTTTTTTATCTACAGTCTCAAAATCCAAAAAGTCTTTGAAAAATAGCATTTTGGAGGAACCCATTTGGCAGCAAATTCCTTGAGGTGATTTATGGTCATTGGTTTCCCAGAGTGTTTGATTACGAGATGCTGCCCCAGATCCTGCTGGAGGTGTTACAAAGGAGAACACACATTCATTCTCGCCTTATGAAAATTCTGATTTTCAAAACACATGTGACTGCACAGGTTTGGAAGACAGACTGAAGACCAGCACCTGGTTTTCAACTCACTTGCT